AAAGAGTGTGTGAGATGTTTGTTTCTTTAACTGAATGCAAACTGGATGTGGAATTTCCTTTTGGAAGAAACCACTGAATGGGAGATGGCTTGGATTCCCATTTGTATATTGCATCATATATAAAAGAGAATGATATAATGAATTGCAATTCTGAAGAATCCAGGCAGCAATAAAAAAATGATTTTGGGTTAACACCTTCAGTGGGTCTCTTGCTGTGCAATCTGTCTTACTACTAGGTTCAAAGACTCTCGGGCCAGGCACAGTTTAGTTATGTAGCTCATAATACCAATGCTGAGTTTGTGTTAAATGCTAAAAATAATAATTATATCCCTTTAAGATAAGAGGTTTTAGAGAGAAGTTGCAGTAGTGCAGAGAAGTTGGAAGTTTAGTAGCAGTGGTAATGGTTACACATGGTTACTAGTAGCAGGACAATACTCTGTCTTTAGAATTACAGTAGACAATCTGTTAATCTCAAGCACTGGACTAACAAAGGTAACTTTATAGACCTGGCCCTGTGTATTTGCAAAGTGAACTAGATATATCGGTTCCTCATGCAACACTTGAAATATGCTGCAAATATACTGGAAATATACAAATACGACAGCCAAGACTGCTTGCTGAATCTGCTCAATCAGCTCCAAATGCTTTCCACAGCTACAATACATAGTAAGGACCATCTGCAAATAAACTTGATAAAAAATGGAAAAAAATTCCTCTTCTTCAGAGTGTGGACAGGCAATGGTTGCAGAGCCATCCATTACTAAGGACAAGGTTTTGGCTGGCAGGTGCAGGTTAAAGATCAGCATGCCCACGCCTCCAGCCCTCGCCTCTTCTACACAGAAGTGGATCCAGAGTCTAAGAGCACAAGTGCACAACTTGTCTGGCATAGATTTGAAGCTTTTACTGCTGCCCACTCTTGCACCTTCTGAATGCAACAGGATCTAAGACCTTACATAGGATAGCCATGTCCATCGCTGTCAGGCGCGAGTTACTTACGTAGGGCTGGGAGCTCCTTAGGGAAGCGATCTGTCTTCTCATGCACAGAGGCCACGTATTCTATAAATACTACTACTACTATAAAAGTAACAGTCTGCCATTACCACCCAAACAGCCTGTTCTATTTACAAGTTGTATCTGGACTTGACTTTTTAAATGAGGTTTTGCCTCTTTCTTACATGACTTCCTGCTATCTTCAAACGATCTTGGTTTGGGAAATTAAGGATTGGAGGCCAAGTCACCATGCAAGCTGTTTGCAAATAAAGCATCAAAGCCCCTTATTTTAATCTGTGATAATTACTACTGTTAGTTAAATCTTGCTGCCCTGATGATTCTTAACAATATGTAACAAATGCACAATGCCTTAATTGCAAAAAGTTGTTGCTTGTTCTGAGATCAATTTGTATTAGTAGAAAAAGTTTCCATCTTAGTCAGCTTTGTGCGCTCACAGAGATTTTTACAGCACCGGCAACAAATGTTTTACAATGGAATTTTACCCTGGAAGTATGAATTTTAAAGAGTTTACTATAATCTAACTGCCGCAGACTTTGTGTTTCTCCTTAAAGGAGGAGCTGTTTAAAGCCAGACAAGACCAAAGAGGAATTGCTGAGAGCTGTAAAGGCTCTCCCCCTAAGTGTGAGCCCTGCATTAAAGCTTCTGGATCCTCATGATGAAAATCTTTCGCTCGGGATTTGTGAAGAATTGAATTCCACACCAAATGTTTCAGCTATCTGGGTTTCTGGGACAGTACATTTTCTTCAGACAACTGTATCTACCCATACCCTTTTCTAGCAAGCCAGTGGTGCCTTTTGTTTACCCCTCTAGTCAGAGAATAAGAATCTAATTGTGTGATCTAAGTGTCCAGTCAGAATTAACCAACACGTCTAGAATTTTAAATGCTCGTTATAAACCAAATCTAAGTCCAAGAACATCCTGCTGGACTCACACAGGGTGAAATTCCTGGGAAGCAGAGAGTTGGCACAAGCTCTCTGCAGACAGAAGCAGGCCACATACACAGCACATAAGCTTTTGGGCCCTTCTGCACAGGGACGATCCTGATCCTGAGTTAAGAATTGCAAATAACAAGTGATTTTGCACCGATCCTGTCCTGCTCACATGCAGACGCTAAATCCATCAACACCACTATTTACTGTGACCAGTGCATGATTGCAGCCTTTCTAGCAGTGAGCCAACATCTTTATCAGATTGGAACCATTCATACAATACTGCACTTTCAATCCATATAATCAGTGAATACACAATTATTTCATATTCCTCCCTATAAAGAGAATCCGGGTCAATTTGCATGCCAAAATGTTTTAAAATTCCACAAATAAATAAATAATGTTATTTCACCTGTTAAACACACGGGAACTGTTTGTTTTGGCCAGCTCGCATGGACTCTGTGTGCCAGTTTATGAATAAAATAATGTTCAATATTCTAAACGTTCTGTGATACAAATTCCTGGCTCAGCATAAATACAGACCTTTTGTATGTGGCAGGTTCTTAATGCATTCTCCAGCACTGACACCATTAAATTCATGTCTCTATGACAGAGTATATCTATAAATACTTGTAATTCCTAATCACAATGGAAAAAAAAAAGCAATCGCAGATAAGCTGATTTGCCCATCATGGGCCTCTATTTCACTGGATTTTGCTTGCTGGAGTTTGGGTTTTTGGAAAGCAAAATGCAACTACTGTATCCCAGTGGTTTCTGCACATGCCGTACATTCCAGAACACGAAGTAGGCTTTCTGTTTAAAGAACAGTACGGTTACAAAGATAAGATAAAACCAAACTGGAATATAATATTCCTGGGAAATTTTAGTTCTTTATGCAAACATGAAGTCAGCAATGTAAAGGATGCTTTATGAGCAACACTGGCAATGGCTGAGTTTCTCACACTGTCAGGCCTCCTTCCCAAGCAAAATTACCTATTACTTTAAGATCAGAATGCAAATACAGAGCAGACTCTGCTCTAGTTTAATCCACTGCATTTGGGAATTAATTCCACTGATGTCACTGGAGAAACTAAGTTCAGACAGGCCTAAGTGAAGGTGAAATCCAGCCCTAAGGAAGGGACTAACGGTTTTGGCTCTGCCTTTAAATTCATGGCTTGCTTTCATTTCAGGTGGTTGAAGTAAGTCTAGGACTGGACTATGCTGTGTAGGCCCCAGACTAGCATGAAATTCAACTGCATAGCTCTAGACTTGCATCTGTGGTAATAAAAGAGCGCACTGCCTGACTCTGCGTGCAGGACCTGCATGAGGCAGAGGGACAGAACTCAGTGAGTGCTCTCAGTTACCTTCTGTTTCCGTGTGAGTCTGCTAGGGCTTCCCCGCGCTTCCCCCCAGTAGTATTCAGTTCAACAACAGTTCTCCCAAACCGTCAGATTTATCACTTGCGGGATAAGAAGACTAAGGTCCAGCTCTCTTCTCAGCGCCGTACTGATGCTTTGAAGGAGACAAAACTCTCGCCACAGCCCCCTTGTGAGATTTCCCTTCTTCTCAGTGACTAGGCTCCTAACTCGAAGTGCAAATTTTTAACACATATTTACACTGAAGGAAACCAACCTTCTGCTGTTTTCTTTTTAGCTTGCCCAGGCTGGGCATGGGACACCTCCTTAGTTCCTTGCACTCCTGGAAGATACTGCTAATGAACACTTTTCTGTAGAATTCAGTCTGCTAGCCAGAACTGTTCAGAGTTTGCTTTCTGAAATATAGAAAGCACTTTCAGCATCATTTATAAAGTAGCTTTTTGACAAGAGTCCACCTGTGGTGGGCATCTTGTGTAGGTTTTGCCTTTGGATGGTTAAGCTGTCGATTAATACTCATTTCTATCCTGTTTGGAATACACTTCTCTTGCTGGGCCATATCCATAAGCCCGTGTTGCAATGTTTGGGTTATAAATGGCATAAGGGGAAAGTTTAAATTCCAGCAAAACCTCCAATCAAAACCAGTGACACCCTTCCTTTCCAAATATTGAAACTGCAAATTAACGCAGACAGCACACGGAAGCATAGCACTCTGAACATCTTTGCACTTAGAAAGGAAATACCATGTAGTGTTCACTGTTACCTTAGACCAATCGCCTGTTTTCCATTCGTAGCAGCCTGTGTGATCCTCACACTCTTCCTCATCTCTTGGCCTGGTGGCCGCATCACATTTTCCTTGTGAATTTGTGCACGTCACTGTTCTTTTCTGAATCCCCTTGCCACAGTCTGCTGAGCACTGCAAAACAACAGGTATTTGTTTTCTGTTACATGATGCCTAGAAATGATAACTTTTATCTTGGTAACATAGCTAAAAGGAAAAGCTGGTTTTATGAACACAGGGGAGAAAAAGAGGAAAACCAGTAAGGTTTTCTCCCAATAATCCAAGCCCCTTTCAAACATAAAAGAGTAATTTGAAAAGGACGATATCTGCTTGTGAAATATTTGACTTATGAAAAACAGCAATTCTGAACTCATAATTCATACTGAAAAAGGACACACTGAGATTTACTACACAGAACTGCCACATCCCTTGATCTATCATGGGAGTAAAATGAGGGTGATAAATGCATTTTTAAATCACAGTAGCATGAGATCGCTGTTCCAAACACAATTCTGCAGTACAGTTTGTACATACCATGGCAAAGCCACAGTTTTCACACATATTCTCGTGTGAAACACATACATGACTTTCGCTTTTTGATTTGCCATATGCCCGTCACCATGTTAGTTCCGAAGAACTTCAAATGTCCAAAGGGGATAGCTCAGGAGAGGCACCGTTCAGTGAGCCACAGTGTTGTGATCAGCTTCCAACCATGGCCAGCAAGCTAGCCGCAGACATGAGCAGGGATGAAAGACAGGCTTTTCACCACCAAAAGGATAAACAGGGACTGTATGAAGTCCTCTGAGAAAGCTGCAGGCTACTAAAGCTGCTAGCATCAGTTGCTGAAGGAAGACTTGATTCAAACATTTGGGCACTCTAACAAACATTCATGCGAGTGAGCACAAATTATCCACAAATCTTTTTGTGCTTGGGCACTATGAAGGTAACTTCTAAAGAGCAGGGATATCTGGTCACTCATTTGTTATCTCTGCTAATGGTTGGCTGGAAATTCTGTTCTACTGGAGAATTGGTCTTGATTTCATTGACTGTACTAGGTGGGAAGAGGACACTGGCATGAACTGAAACAGAATTTCTGTTTTAAATAACCAGTTTGGTAATAGAGTAACAGATCTGCTGACGCTGTCACAGCCATCTAAGTACATGCCACTACACAACAGCATAGCTAGCCTCTCTGCTCTTCATTTTCATGCCACTGCAGTGGTTAAGAGTGTGAAGTTTTCTTGAAGAGCCACTGGGGACAGGTGGGTGGAAAAATGATATCTGTACCAACTGAGATAAAAACTAACCTCTAGCATGTCAAGTTCTCCCCTTCAGGGGATCAGCATGGAAAAGACAGTTGATTTGACACTGAATAAATAGTGAAGATATGAGATATTCTGTGAGGTCTTTTGAACATATTCCAAGAAGCTTCTCCATCCAGGGGGTCTATGCTGGAAACAAGCATCAGCTTGATATAAATTACATCAAATGGACAAATCTCAGCATGCCTGTCTAACCATCTTAAAAATACAATCCAGGCAGTTCTGACCTGCTGGCCTTGTTAAGGACATGAATGACAAGCGTTTATGAGCTGGCAAGCAAACAGACATGCCTTTAACTACTTCAGAGCACTACAAAGTGACTTCTTGAAAATCTGGGAAACCTTCCACTTAATTTACTATGTGCTGGTCATGGCGTGACCTCCTTACGGATGTAACACCTTTGTAACAAGCACAATTGTATAGTTCTGCTAGATACGAGGATGAATTCTTCCAGGCTTTGCAGAATTCCAGAAACTGCTTTGCTGGACTCCTCAGAGCACAAGACTTGCCAGAGATCCCAGGCTGAAGCTCCCTAAATGGTATCTTAAAGCCATGAATTTGCCCCAAGTTGTATAGACTTTCCCAAATTATATATAATTTTCCTCAGTCTTCAGGGTGGACTCCTCAGGGTTGCACTCGTTCATCCTAAACTACAAAGCACAATATATAAAATCTTTCAAATGGTCCAATTTACTTAAAGTAAATCAAACTGAAGCGGGAGTATTTTTCACAGTAGGAGAAATCTCTAGGTGGGTTTTACAAGCAAATCTGGGAAAAACACCAACTGTTTGTTCTTCCCACAAGCTTTTAAGTCATTCACAGATTAATACTGCATATACTTTCCTAGACAAAACAGCATTTGCAAAACGTTTCCAACAGATCTTTGGTGGTCACATATAAATCACCCTCTTTAAGAGTTTTTTCTTTCCTCAAGTCCTCTGTTTTCATGAAGAGTATAGATTTTACAGAGATTCCACAACTGAGCAGTCTACACATTAATATGTGCAGTCCCTGAGTGTCCAGCTGAGATCATTAGGTCTTATTTTATTAAAAAATTACTTAGTCAAATCCCATGAGGTTTTGTAAAGGAGCAACACAACTTTGCAGTTAAGACACAGCTCCTTTACTTGAAGGAAATCCATTTTTTTTTCTACTCTAGTTCCCTGACAGTAGAAACACTCACCTTTTTCTGACAGTCTCTATTTTTGTCATTAAAAATGGGTTGAGCAGTACTTTGTCCAAAACAATCTCAAGTGTTTGGCAAAAGAAGGGGAACTTAATTTTCTTCACAATGAAGATTGCGTTGGAATTTGATTTGAAAACACACATTTTTGATTTGGGACCAGACATCAGTGTGGTCAACTGTTTTCTGTTGTATAACCAAAAACTTCAAAAACATACATGAGAAAATTAATTGTAAAATGATACCACTACTGTGATATTTACTCCACAACATCAGATTATCAGATTAAAATGTTAGGGATTAAAGTGATTACCACTGAAGAAAGTCCTCATTATGAGAAGTGTTCAAACTGGCAGAGCATCAAATGTGTTCTGGAGTCAACTGTGCTACATAATAGCAGAAATGTGCCAGAACAAGAACAGATTTAAAATCATGAGTGGGCAATTACAGACACGACAAAAGGTAAATAACTTTATCAAAGGAAAAGTAAACCAGTTACTGAAAAAATTATCTACAAATATTATGTATTTGCAAATGAGTTATGTGGTCACAAATATGGAAGATTTCCACTCTGAAAAAAGTCTTCTGTAACTTGACTTACTCCATTTCATAAAAAGGAAAGAGAAGTACCTGGGACTGTTAACAAAAGACCCAAATGAAAATTCCCATGTAAAACAGGTAGGAACTGCACCATAAGAATAGTCTCAGATATAAACAGTTCAGCTGGTTCAGCTATAAGAAATAAAGAGGGCACCATCTGAAAGGGTTACTTCTATAACACACAAAACACCTATCAGACAACTTCTTAAAACTTTGGTGTGTTTCTCCACATCTTTCAGAATAAAAGAACTCAGAAAGAAAATGAATCTCATGCATCGGTGAACAGATACAGCATCCTACTGAAAGGAAACGCTGCTCTCACTTAACTATCATCTCACTTGCCAAACAAAGATTTCCTGTTCAAAAGGTGGACAACGGAATCACATTGTGTTTGTTAAGAGACGCTGTTCCTCAGTGCAAGATCCCTTGTATCCTGAGCTTCTGTGACTTTTAAGCACAATTCTAAAAATAATATTTTGCAAAAGCTCTTTGACATTGTTTTAAATGGCAGCTCACTGTTTCAAAATAGAGATGAATAGAAGGAAAGATCCTTCCCACCGAAACGACTGTTTCTGGACAGTCCCGTAACACAGCCAGTCTGGAATGAGACTGGTAGAGATGTAACAGTGAATGGATCTTCTCATCATTCAGAAGAGCCTAACATACAGTAGCAAAACTAACACGGACATCCTGTTAGGGCTGTTGCTCACAAGTTACAGGCAAAGTTGCCCTGCATTAGCTAAGTGCTGGTCATGAACTGTAGGCATGCTCCCAGTTCACTCTGTTGCTAAACAAAATGCAGGCGGTCTGTCTAGACCACTTATCATTTATATCTGAAATGCGTTTGTAATATCTGAGAATCATTTCTTAACTCGGCAACTACGTGGAGATGCACCTTTTATATAAAGTATAACCAGCTTTTCTATGTTCCTGGAATTACACAAAACAAGGCTGGATAAGGCCCAAGGATTGTACATTCTCTGTAACGTGCAGATGCTTGATAAATCTGGTATTTGTTTCATACTGCATTTAAATGGAGCCAGAAGCCCTGGTGGGTTACTACACTTCTGGCCTCGGGTCAGTGAAATGTTTTTCCTTGCTGGTCAGAGTTTTCAGATGGAAAGATATAGTTACTATAGCATGATATCTAAAACCTGCCTTAATAACTCATCTGGTATGGAATATAAAGCTCCGCTCCAAACTGATCATCTCAAGAAATGATAATCCTACCTAGTGCCCCAATACTTTGAGGCACTGAGCATGTTGACCGTGAGAACGTGCTTAATTTTAAGCACTTAACTGGACCAGGGCCAGCGTATCCAGAGCTGTGTGCAGTCTGGCTCCTTTCTTGAATCATGTTCCTACCTTTGACCACTCTGATGCTTCCCAGATAGAAAGGCAGTCCCGTCCTTCACAGCTTTGTACTGTTGCTGGTTTGTTGCCAAGGCAGTAGAGGTCTCTTGTGTTAACGTAGGTGCCATTTTGCAACTGATAAACACAAGTCACTTCCCGGTGCTGGACACCTTTCTCACAAGTAGCAGAGCAGGGACTCCAATGGCCGGTCACCCACCTGGGAAGGAGCCAGAGAAGGAATGTTAAAAAACTGGTGGGAAAAAACATTATCCTTCACTTAAAAACAGTGAGAAATGGGCAACTCTTCCTAGATTTGTGGGCTCTTCGACGGCGCTGTATCGCTGTCACACTGAGATCACCTGATCACCTTTGGGAGCTGAAGTGTGTAAAGCAGGAAAGTGTTGGTATACAAGTGAATGTCCACTCCTGTCTCCACGCTAGACAGAAACACAAACTCTGCATAGCTCGCTTTAACCCTCAGTCTCTACAATGTGGCTGCATTTTTCCCCCAGATAAAGACAGAGTTGTCTGCAGACCATCCTATCCCACAAACATTGTTGCCTTTGAGAGGTACCTGGGAAAACCACTGCTACATCTGCATGCACATCTTCACTGTGCAGTGGAGCTGTGCAGAGAACCTGTACTTACCATGTACAAACCGGGATGGTGCTACGGCCAGACACCCAACATGGCTTTCCCGCATCCAGGACCAGAGCCAGCTTCTCTAGCCCTACATTATATGACCTCAAAGCATACAAATCCTCTACATCCCAGACCATTAGAATGCAAAGACATCTTCTGCCTCGCTTTTAGTTCACCCTCTCACAGCCGCTGGTGAGATTTCACTTTTCATAGCTGGGCTTTCCAGCATATTTAATTGGAATCTCATCTGTTTGAAGTTCATGGCATTAGGGGCCTCAAAAATGAAGAATAACTGGCCATGTTCATTCTTAGAAAATCTGAATTGCATTTAACTGCCAAGGCTCAAGAACTACTTAAAAAGACAACATTTTCCCTATAGAAAGGATCCTACAGTGTTGTTTCAAAGCTGCGGTAGCTCACAAGGATGTGCCATAACCCAATGGGGATGGGGGTGGGGGCTATTTCCCTATCCCCATCATTTCTCTGAGCCTTTGGGATTCATTTGCTTTGTAAGCACATTTCAGTTGCCGTTTCCTTCCCCTTTGATCAAAGTGTGCTGGGACCAAATACATGGCCTTTTTTTTTTTTTGTTGTTTGCTTTCTTATGTCTTTAAAGGCTCTTTGGCAAACACCCAGCACAACGCTGCGAGGTGTTCAGGTTCCTCCAAAGTAAGGAACGCGCTGCTGCTGTGAGCAGTCTCCGGCTGCAGGCATGCAAGGGAAACCAGGCAACCTCAGCCTGCTGTCTTCCAGCTCAGCGTAAAGCCAGCTGAAAGGCTCCCACTGACCCCAGCAAGCGCTGGAAGCACCACTGTGGTTAGACCTGGGCTACAAGGCAGTGAAGAAAATGTCTAAGAAGAATCTGAATAAGGAGGTATGTAGGGAGGGACGATTTTTTTCCTAAAGACAAGCAGCATCGATCTTTATGCTTCCTGCGCCTTTGGGATTCATTTGCTTTGTAAGCACATTTCAGTTGCCATTTCCTTCCCCTTTGATCGAAGTGTGCTGGGACCAAATACATGGCCTTTTTTTTTTTTTGGTTGTTTGCTTTCTTATGTCTTTAAAGGCTCTTTGGCAAACACCCAGCACAACGCTGCGAGGTGTTCAGGTTCCTCCAAAGTAAGGAACGCGCTGCTGCTGTGAGCAGTCTCCGGCTGCAGGCATGCAAGGGAAACCAGGCAACCTCAGCCTGCTGTCTTCCAGCTCAGCGTAAAGCCAGCTGAAAGGCTCCCACTGACCCCAGCAAGCGCTGGAAGCACCACTGTGGTTAGACCTGGGCTACAAGGCAGTGAAGAAAATGTCTAAGAAGAATCTGAATAAGGAGGTATGTAGGGAGGGACGATTTTTTTCCTAAAGACAAGCAGCATCGATCTTTATGCTTCCTGCAATCTGTCAATGAGGAACGTGTTCTCTGTAATTGGATGAAGTGAAAGACTGGAACAATAATAACGGTGTAGGCACTGGGCACCGGAAGGCTATCGTGCCTTTCTCACCAGGTAATTGACCTTCTAGCCTGTTATTTAGGACTGTCATCTAGATTAGTATCCTTATACCATGAATCTTTTACTTGTCACCCAATCCTGGGTTGCCTATTATGATAAACGGCTCAAATAAGACTTCTCAAAACCAAGTGTGCTCAGAAATATTCTTTCATTTTGCTGAAGGCTCCTGTAGTCCAGGCAGAGCACCATACACGCCAACTTACTAACCACATTTCTTTTGAAGTTGCTGCGCAAATTCTCCTAAATGAATCAAACAACTGTTTCCTATCTTCCCATTCCTGAACGGGGCAAAATCATAGAATCATAGAATCATTTAGGTTGGAAAAGACCTTTAAGATCATCCAATCCAACCATTAACCTAACACTACCAACACTATCAGCTCAGCACAATTTGTAGAAACATCTTCACTTGGTGCAATTGTCACGAATTCATTTGCCAAATGCTATGACTGATGACCTGGTGTGACAGCGCTGATGGTGGTGTTGACAGTGAAGGCAGAAGCCATTTGGTTTGAGCAGGACGGGATCGGGCAGGCTGGCCACCTGTCTTTTGTGGAAGGGGGCCCCGCTCAACTGTTTCTGTGCATTAAAGCAGTTGACACATCTGTGAATTTCCGTTGGCTAAAACAGCTGGCACGACACCAAACGTGTTTCTCTAGCCAGTAGTTTTGGTGCATCTCTGTGGCTCAGTGCTTGGTATTTTGCTTACGGAATGGGAAAATGCCAGCTGGGTAATTAAATACTAGCACTGAAAGACCGACAAAAATAGCCTCGAAGCCCAGAAATCAGTGTTCATGAAAATTAATAGCCAGGCTCCCTTGATATCAGCTGGGCTCTGCCTTGTCAGAGCAAATGTGGAGGGAGTTATCTATCCGGGTAAAGGAACCGCTCGTCAAGGGCATGGAGGGGGAAAGAGTGACTTTGCTTTACGAGCTGAATGTGAGTCACAGGGCCGGGAACGGTTTCTATACAGGCTCCACTGAACTAATATTCACTTCAGCACTGTACTCTCACTGTGATCTACAGCTACTGGCAAAAGAAAAAGGGAAAGGGACTGAAAGCAAAGGAGAAAGATAAAAATACATTCTTGGCAGAGGCTGTCTGTGAGTTTGCGTTTAGGATGGGCAGCGCGCAGCATGCCAACTATTTCCAAGATGCCTTGAGAAGTAAGGTTATGACTTTCCTTTCAGGAAGGAAAATTCCTTTTTTTAATTTTTTTATGTTGTTGCTATGGTGGAGGGGAGAAATCACCTCATTTCTACCCTGTTCAGCGGTCTCTAGTTAGTGCCGCTGTAGCACAGATACGACAGAGCATAACTGGAAAACTGGCACAGAAGAAACAAATATTACCATCATCGTGAGAAGAATGATTGCACAGGGCATGAGCCAAAGCCCACGGAATCAATACAAAGCTGTGCTTGTGGTAAAAACGCAGTCTCCAGATTTTTTTGTCAGAGTGGCATCTGTATGGCCAGCTTCAGCTACCGTTGCGCTACATCCATCCCTGATCTGAGCCCAAGGGTTACAAATAAGGTGGGGCTATGCTCTAAGGGATCTCTGAAACCTCACAGCCCACTCTGTCCTACTCGTGACATCTGCTGCTAACACGGAATCAAACTACTTAGAAATTAAAGGCTATTTTAAAGTGGTGGTTTCAGTTTCATATCCAAGAGACAAGTGACAGATTAAATGTCTGAAGAATAATAATAATATCAGTAAGGCAGGCTATTTTCAAAGGCATCAAGGGGATGATCACTTTGACCACAAAACTTCAGCCTCTCAGTGAAATCTCCGCTTGGTTCAATGGCTTGTAAAAATGATCTGGCAAACAAGTAAATGCGAGTCCTACATGCAGTACTGGCGGTGCTCTGATCTTCCCCCACAGTTCTCCCAAAGCCCCCCTCACAGGCAGCTGAAAATGCTATTTTAGTGCCTGTAAGACACAGAATCACTGCAACTATATTTCAACAACATCGTTCACAACCAAAGTGGAAAGACAAGGGATTTATGGATAAGGTGATTAAATATGACAATTCCTGCCAGTTTCATATTCGGTAAAGGAATGTGCAGCAAGGTATTAGCATAATTACTATCTGCAAGTAATACACACACAAGGAAGAAAAATGTGATGTACAAATAGTATCACATTATGGCTACTATTAAATGACACTACAGACAGATTTTCCTCTCTACACTGTCATTACACCTTTTGAACACACCTGGATGTGTTTAAGAATGAGACTTGCTTTTCATTTTTTTTAAAACCCAGTATTTTTCTTATGACAATGTAAAAAATCATTCCAGTATTCTAACTCAAAATGCTCTGTATAATTAACTAAGCCAATTAACTGTTGTATGCTAAGCCCCGTGTCTATGATATAGAGCATTTGGCTTCCAGTTGTGTTTTAAGCCTGTAAACTGATCTTAGTGATTGCTTGACACCACAGTCCTTTTCAGCTTGGTCTTTCCCTCCCAGGTTATAACGTATCTTGTGTTGGACCAAGTGAGTGCTCTAGCTGGAGTCCCTGGAGAGCCTCTCATTTTTCCAACAAGCACTGATTTATGTGACAAACACACTCATCTTTCTCACAACCATAGGGATGGCTTTATCCATGGTATTATTTTTTGTAATCTTACCTCTATAGAAGATTCAAGAGCTAGATGATCCCTGCTGGTGGTTAGATTTAGGAAGAAAGTGATGAGCTTTTAAGCACAGATTTTTTAACCCAGTCAGTGGCTGTCTTTCTAGCTAAAAAATGCCCAGAAGGATGTGTTTTTCTGTAGCCTTAAAAAGCTGGGATGGGCAGGACATGCAATCTGAGAGGGCTGTTTTAAATCTTTGTCTTCTGAGTCTTCCTCAACCTCTGACCTCTCAGTATCTCTGCTGAGGAATTGGGAGTTCTTCTAATCTGCTTTGGCAACACTCATCTGGCAGGCCCCTGGAGCAAACTTGAAATATCTTTTGGAGGTTCAGTTCATCATTTGATCTTTCTATGGTCTGGATTAGTCATTAACCTTGAATTATCCACTCTACCTACTTGCCTAAGACTCCCACATTTTCTAGGAAAAAAACTGTCTACAGCACTATGTACATAAACCCAGGGGAGATGAATGTCTGCAAATGAAGACTTGTAGCTAAAGATTTGGGAAAAAATGCTATGAAGATAAAATGGGTCAAGGCTGAAGGACGGGGTGGAAGAGTGCAATCAAAAGACATGAGGTCACTTTTCAGAGATTTGTAGCCTCTTAAAATGTAAAGCCATTACATGTTCTAGGGCAAATATTGCAGCCCATTAAATTTCATCTGGTTATTTCTGTCTGAAGCCCTGCAGAAGACTGGTGCCTGCAGGTTGGTTCTGTTCCACTAACTAAACATCTGTGACATATTCGCACATGCACTCCCTATCTACAGGGACTGCACTACTTTTGTTCCCTCCCCAATGCTACAGTGAAACTAAGTTCCTTGTTTTCACAATAACAGCTTGGATGTGACCAAAGACACATTTGCAATAACACACATTTTTGTTTTTATTAAGCCTGTTTTTTTAGAACTGGCTCTTAACTACAACTAGTTAAGAGCCTGTACTACTGTTGAATAAAGTAGCAGAGGAAATTTGCTACTAAACAAGATATAG